CCCGCCCGTGCTTACCTCGCTCCCGGGGACTAAGCACAAGCCCGCCCGTGCCTACCTTGCTCCCGGAGACCCGGTCCCTCTCAGGAGGGTAACAAGGGAAAGTGTTCAGTGCAGATCAGTGAGTAAGCACCAAAGCATTGAGCCTTCTGGTTAGCAGCCAAATAAATGCCTTACCCACTATGCCACCAAAGCTCCATTTTTCTTCATATTTCTTTGAAGGTATGATTTATACTTGAATAGGAATTTTACTTACATATGCAACTGGCGAAAGGTGAAAGTTGAGGTAGGAATTTTTATTGGAAATAATGAAGGGATAGAGTAAGAAAGAAAGGGCAGCTTGAAGTGGAGGGGAGGCGTTTTGAGTTTGTGCAGAATTCCCATTTATCAATATTAAACCATGTATTTCAAGCTTTGCCATTTGGGGAAGAATAAGCAGCCATTGTCCATGTGCTGCTGTGGAAAACCTGCAAGGACTGATTTTCAGAGAGGCTGGGATTTCTCTGGCCCAGCTTTGTGTCTCCAGTGTTTTGAGGGAAGAATCGCTATCTTTTCCATAGTACCAAAAGGTCAGGAGTCTAAACGGTTATCTCTTTTTTTAAAATCTTCTATGATGATAAATATGTGCATGAGATCTGGCTAAGTTTGGAATTCCTTTGAAATGCTGGTCTCTGATTTCTCCCTGTGGCCCAGTGGTAGATACTGGCCACACATGGGTAAGAAAATCCCTCTGCCTTGCTTGTTCTCCTGCCCCCTAAGAGTAGAGTTCTGTTTGAAAAGAGCTGGGGGAAAAAAAAAAAAAAAGACTGTTTTTTCACTTGGGATCAGAATATCCTTCTCCAAGCAGTGAGGGCTCTGTGAGACTAACAGGATCCATATGTTGAAGCTGGCCGCTAATGCTCAGCATATGGCCCAGAGAAACTTTCAGACAGAAGTATGCCTCTTGTTCTCCAAAGAATGTCCCAGTAAACTCCTGAAAGGAACATTACTTAGGTGACGGATGGGTAGACACAGCTTCTAGGCTTATATTCCCAAAGAATGTGAGTGACAGAAAGCCATCAAAAAGGTCCTGGTTTGGCTTTGACATGGACATTGGCCTGTAGCACTCCCTATAAGGCCATCCAGAACAGAGACCCTGTGCTCGTCAAAATACTATGGGGCCTTGAAACCCTGCGCTTGTCCTCTTCAGTTACTGGTGGTTGTTACTCATGGTACCAGCTTGTTTGTTAAACTGAATGGAAACATTTCACCCTCTTCTCTCAGAGGTAGTTTCATGCAATGGAAAGAACACTTATCTGGGAGCCAGGAGGCCTGGTTCTGGGGCCACTGTGGCCCTAACTAGAAGTGGCCTTAGGGAAGCCATTTTCCTTCTGTTCCCTCATCCAGAAAATGAGGAATCAGGACACAGCTGGGCTGCTATTCCGGTGAATCCCAGAAGTTCTGCTGTTTAGAGCAGGACCATCAGCCTTCTCAGGGGGTCAGAAACATTTAAGTCAGAAAACCAGTTGGGAGCCAGTTCCTTCTGGTTCCCACATTTGAGAATGCAGTGGAAGCTCTATGCAGTGGAAGCTGAGCCGTTTCTGGAAAAGAAGGGGGGAGAGTAATCACACTTGCTAGTTACACTTTCACTGTTATTAGATAAGAATTCAGTCTGGAGCCAGAATGAATAGAATAATCAGTAACAGATCGAGTGAGGGAGAGGCTGGCTGCTCCTAATTACTATAACATATCTTCCCAAGCAGACTTTTGAAGCCTGGAGTTTCCACCTCTTGTTGTCTAGTGGAGTGTGCAGCATACTCTTCTTCCTTCTGGCCCATGCCTGATTCCTTACCCGTATGCTGGCTCCTTCCCTTTTCAATTCTTCTTCCCCTGCCCCCAAGTCATCCCTTTCTCTCTGCAGCCTTTGTTGGCTTTTCCCATGAACTGTGTTGTCTGTTAGTAGAATGGCTAAGAAGACTATGCTTCCAGTAGCTAGGTGGCCTCCTAACTCCTGCTCTCCCCTGCCCAAGCAGGGCCCAAGCAAGCCCTTTGATCCCTATATTCCGATGAGGCACAAATGTGTCTCTTCATGAAGTGAGCAGATGAGGCAGACAGGCAGCAGCTCTGCCTGCAAGTCAGTCACCATGGCAACGAGCCCTGCCTCTGTTCTACTGTGAAAAGAAAATGGCTGTTCCAAGGAAGCACTCACTGAGTCTCTCTTACCAGCCTGTTTGGTTCAGGCCCCTCCCTCACTCTGGTTTTAAGAAGCTATATTCATTGAACCAAATGCCTGTTAGCCTTTAGCTTTCAGATTGAGTTTACTCAAGAGGAGGAGAGGCAGAAGGAAGTTGAATTCAAATGAATAAAGCATTATTTTTTCTCCCTAAACCCATATTTCCATGAGGAATGGTTATCTGTTCTGAACAGATAAATGGGGAACAGAATGAATACAGGGATCTGTGAGATCTGGTGTAATGTATTTCATCTTATCAATGGAGTGAGATGACAACATATATATATTTAAAAAAAAATTCCATGAGAGTAACCAAAGAATACAGGGAATCCTGCAGGGAATAGCCCACAGAATTTCAGAAGAGTATCTGACTAATTGGGTTGATGATGTTTGATGCTAGCTTCTGTTACAAAAAGAGGTGTTCTGGTACTATTTGTCATGAAGTAAGGTGAACATTTGTTTGGCAGTCCCCTGCTTTACAGTCTTCACATTATCTTTCTCTAGTTATTAAACACAAGGGTGAGGAGAGTTGGCAAGAAACTCTGGTGCATAGTTCCTAAGTGGTAGGTTTCCTGCTCACTCATTTTGGTCTCAACATACTGCCTATGAGTACACTTCCCCTGATATTTAAAAATACCTGATAGGGCACATGGGGTCATCGTGAGTTGGAATGGACTCAGTAACAATGGGATTGATTTCGTTTGGTTGGTTGGGCTGCTAGTCCAGTGAATCCAAGAAGTTCTGCTATTTAGAGCAGGACCATCAGCCCTCTCAAGGGGTCAGAAATATTTAGGGCAGAAAACCAGTTGCTGCTGAGTTGATCTCAACTCCTGGTGACCCCACATGAGCTAGAGTAGAACTGTGCTCCCTAGGGTTTCCATTGGCTGTGATCTTTCAGAAGTAGATTGCCAGGACTTTCTCCCAAGGGGTGGACTTGAACCTCCAACCTATCAGTTAGCACCCAAACATGTTAATCATTTGTACCACCCAGAACCTCAATTGAGGGCAGAAGTCACCCCTAATCTGATAGGAGAGCAGTTTCATTGGACAATGGTCTGGCCTATACCTTCCCTTGGCTGCAGCATGAGGAACTGTGGATACTTCAGTGGAGACAAGTTTTCAAACTCAAACAAGTTCCTCCCCTCACTCTTAAAGTGAGCTGGAGGACCCCGTTTTTGAATGAGAACTCTGGTTCTCTTGTCAAAAATGCCAAGGTGTACTTAAACTGGACTTTCTCTTTTTCAGTGTCTCTGCAGGTGGATATTGTTCCCAGCCAAGGAGAAATCAGCGTTGGAGAGTCCAAATTCTTCTTATGTCAAGGCAAGTGCCCCGTGCCCATCTGAGTTTCAGAACTTGCCTCAGAAGCCCACAGGGCAGAGCGGAAGACGGTTGGCCCTGTGTATACTGGGCTGATAGCACCACGCCTAGAATTCTTGGCAATGCTCTACTATGGGATCAACAGCCATTCAAGTCAGGGAAGCTTTCAAACCCTCTCCTTCTCTCAAAGCCTGCCCATCACGGTGAAACATATCATCTAGATTCCTGCTGGTAGTGGAGGAGAGTCTAGGGAGTTTCTTGGGACAATCAGCAAAACTAACAACAGAACAGTGAGCCATCCCCAGACCTCTGTGCTCAATATACATCCAGAATTCTGCCAGTGGCTTTGGAGAAGCAGTGCAACTTCAGAAATAATATTTCAGTGCATTGCTCTAAGGCTTATTTCTTAGAATCTCCAGAACAGCAAAATCCAAGGCAGCCTAAAAAGCCCCTGAAAGTGAATTGAGGGCTGATCTCTCTTTAGCTATGAGAACACACGTCCTGGTTTTCCAGGACAACTGTAAACATAAATGCTTTGTCCCATTGTCCCCACCAGAGCACTAGGATTTATCAGACCAGGCACCTTTGTTTCTTTGTTTAGAAATTGTGCCCGTTCCACAACTCAGACAGTGATCATGAAATGTCTAGTGGAGACAAGGGGTTCCAGTTAGGCCACGGCTTCTGTGTGTGTGACGTGCCTGAGGTTGGAAACAAGGGAGAACCAGGAAAGAGCTGAGCTAGTTGTAAACTGTGACATTTAGCAAGCAGCTTTTGCGGGGAGGGGCCTTTAAATGCAATCATGATTTGCATTGGATCTGGTGGCTGGTGGCTGGCGGATGTGTTCTACAGCTTTGCCTTCATTACAGCAATTTAAATGATCTGGAGATGCAGCCATGGAGCCCACAGCACATCTTGCAAATAGCGATATTTATTGAAAACATGATGGGCCCTGAAAGGAAGACTGCTTCATTTCCATACTAAGCATCTGTGCAGGGCCAGGCGATGTAGGCTGGGGAAGGGTGCTGTGCAGTGTAGGTCAGCCGCGTGCAAGATCTGAGAGCCCTGCATCTTGGTTGGGCTCAGGGTTTGGGAGAGCTAAACAGCAGTTTAGCTGTCTTAGGTGCCTGGGGAAAGGAGGCCTGGGTGATCCTGGCCACCTTCTTAGGGGCATTTAAGGAAATGTATTTGTCTGTCTCAAACAATGTGTGTTGAAATGGTAGATGCTAGAGTAAGAGTGGTTAGAAACCGCACTCCTTGATGAGCTGGTATCTCATCCTCAACTCAGAAGCCCATCATCTTAAACCCTCACAGACAAGCTGTGCAGCTGGCTCAGACCAGCTAGGCCTTTGAGCTCTGATTCTGTGTAAACTCCCTTTGTTCCCCTTGCTGTGTGGTTTGTAAGTTCCTAGCTTAGGCACACAATTGGTTCTCAACAAGTGTCTCTTTTCTTCCCTCATCAAGGATTGGGCCACTATATGAAACACCAGTGCAAATGTTTGTTCTTTCCAAGCACCATACAAAGTGTTATGTGAATATTAATTAAACATAGAAGCCAGCGCAGAGCCCCGTAACTTCTACCATAAATGATCATCCTCCCTGAGAATCAAGCCAGATTGATCCATGTTCAGTAGCTCATACTCAGCACTCACTGTCACTTTGGAGGGGACTTTGTCTTTTCACCTTCAGTGGTTTGAGAATATTCTATTCCTCCTTAGTGGCAGGGGATGCCAAAGATAAAGACATCTCCTGGTTCTCCCCCAATGGAGAAAAGCTCACTCCAAACCAGCAGCGAATCTCAGTGGTGTGGAATGATGATTCTTCCTCCACCCTCACCATCTACAATGCCAACATCGACGACGCCGGCATTTACAAGTGTGTGGTCACTGGCGAGGATGGCAGTGAGTCAGAGGCCACAGTCAACGTGAAGATCTTCCGTAAGAGCCTCCATCTTTTTGTGCTATAATAATCCTTGTCTCTTCCTTTGGCCATGGAGACATATGGGTAGTAAAAAGGTGGGATGACACTACAGGGCTTGGCAGGTCCACTTTCCTCTCTCTAAGTCTTTTCTTAGCTAAGAGCTAAGAGCACCAATATATTCTTAAACAATCCTTAGCCAACTGAGAAATCACAGTCCTGATTCATACCAGTCATAGTCAATCCTCCACTGACCTCCTTCCTTTAAATTCAAGTTATGCAGTTCTCAGAGGACAAGATGGTTATGGGTCCCCCCTCCCCCATGTATTGACTAACTGTTGTACAATTGAGGTTTCTTCTTATTTCATGCTTTCCTCCTGGTAATGGAGCCCAAAGGCTCCATGGAGTGAGGGAGTTATATCTGAACACCCTGTGCCACTCAGAACAGACAGTTCTCTCTCTGGAAGTGGCACCTCATTACCTTATTATTATGCATCTTTCCTGTTGGCTAGTATAATGTTGGGTGACAGTGAATGGAACGGTATTGATTGCAATATTATTATTGTCATTAAGCCTGCTTTTCTTCTGTTCTCTTCCTCAAAATTCTCTGTGCTATAGGAAAGTTGGGGTGGGGTAGGGGTAGAGTAGGAGACAGAGGAAGGACTCATTGCTTCTGCTATTCATTATAGCATAGGTGCTCTACCCATTCCATCCACCTACACATTGTCTTTCTTTGGCACCTTCCCAATGGCAAGGAGTCCTTGCTAAAGATAATCCTTTTCCCCCATAGACACATCTATGCACAAAGTATATAAATTTGCCACTCAAAGGGTAGATACTGACTGCCAAACAGTGAAGACACGAGCTGGCATTACTTATGCTAGCTCTTATGCCTAACCATCTTTGGCCAAGTGCTGGGTGCAACCCCTCTTATACAACTATATATATGGATTGAGAGCTGCCCGGGACTCAGATCCAACCAGCATGGCTCTAGTGGAAAGGGATCTCTTACGAGAGAAACAGCTGCTGCTTCTCACTCTTCTCTTGCTGTTTTCCAGAGAAGCTCATGTTCAAGAATGCACCCACCCCACAAGAGTTCAAGGAGGGAGAAGATGCCGTGATCGTGTGTGACGTGGTCAGCTCCCTCCCCCCAACCATTATCTGGAAGCACAAAGGCCGAGATGTCATCCTGAAAAAAGATGGTGAGAACTGAATTTCTTGACAGCTGCTCTTTTCCCCAGGGCCACCAGATCCCCTATATTTCCTCCCCTATATTTCCTACCTCTGCCAGCCTCTGAGGCCTTCCAGTTCAAAGTCAGATACAGTTGTCCCAGAAACCACATGCAGTTTCTAGGTTTGAAATGGATGTTTGCCTGTCACTGGTATATTCGGTCGCTTAATTTTCAATCCAAAGCAGAAGAGAAATTTCTAATAGACCTTTGCTCTTGGCTATATTCCAGAGCTAGGGACACATTTTCGTATTTCAGCTTAAAGCCCCATCCATAAGACTGAAACTAGGGAGAAGGAAGGGGTCAGCTACCTGCCTGCAGATATCACAGTTCTCTGACTGATCCTTGAATGGACCTGCCTTTTGTCTCTTCTAGTCCGATTCATAGTCCTGTCCAACAACTACCTGCAGATCCAGGGCATCAAGAAAACAGATGAGGGCACTTACCGGTGTGAGGGCAGAATCCTGGCACGAGGGGAGATCAACTTCAAGGACATTCAGGTCATTGTGAATGGTGAGGAGATCTGTTCTTCTTGCTCTCCCCATGGCTATAACCTTGGTTCCCCAAAATCACTCTTGTTAATTTCCTCTTCAGTCTATAAAATAAATCCTATCCTACCTTGTTCATCCATCTCAGCTGAATCCCTCTTAGCCTCTGGCTCTTTTTTATTATTATCATTATTAAATATACTTCCTTTTTTGATCTGTTCTCAAGTAAGTGGGCTTTTAGTATAGTTATTGTATATCCTTCATTGTCTTATAGCCCTAGAAACTTTCCCCATGCTTGCTAATACGTTCATATTCATCCTCACTATCCTTGGTGCTAAAGTAATTGTGAAGTTCATCCATTGGTTCAGTGTGCAAAGAAAATATTATAATCAATTCAGGCCTCAGAATAGTCAGAATCACAATCCATGGGCTTATTAATCTTAATTTGCAATGTCAAATAAACACACTCATGGAATCGATCTGACATTTACAAGATGTTTACAGGAAATATAATGTCAGTACTAAGAAAATAAGTAAATCATGGTTGAATTGTTTTGGCTATTGATATATTTTTATTTTTTGCCACACTCTACCTCCTCTCATTCCTTTGGTAAAAACAGTCTGTGCACAGTGTTATTTTTTACATTCCCAGAGAAATGTCACTCTTTGGTGAGCTGGTGCATTTCAAATTGGTATTAACTGTTTGATCACCAGAAACAATAGTTTCCAACATTTTTCAGTATTGAGAGGCCCTTTTTAACATCAAGTTCTGCCAACCATCATAGTTCTAGGTCTAGTATACGTTGATTGAGAAAATACATAATGATAAATAGCTATGGTAAATTGAATGCCACTTAAAAATGAATAGATGCATTGTAATGGCTTCTAAACTCTTGAAAATAATAATGCATATTTTGGGGTGAGTTATGTGTTTACTTTAGAATAATTATTTTGCACACAAATGCATTTAGATCCCTTATACTAACCCTGCAGCCCCACCCCCCAAGACTCTGGACCCACAGACTGGGGCTCCTTAGTCTGGAGCCCCTTGAAAGTGTCTTCTCCAGTCCACTGGGTCCCTCCATGTTTTTCACAACCACCTCTGATAATGTCTTCTTTCCCTCCAGTGCCACCCACTGTCCAGGCCAGGCAGAGTGTAGTGAATGCCACCGCCAACCTTGGCCAGTCTGTTACCCTGGTGTGTGATGCTGAAGGCTTCCCAGAGCCCACCATGAGCTGGACAAAGTAAGGCACAGGCTCAGACCTTTTACCACGGACACAAGAAGGGAACATCATGGAACCCATTTTTGGGCCTCTGTTGGCATTTCAGTGCAATGGGTGGGCTTCTTGGGAGTGTCAACTCAAGTGAAGAGTGGATTTTTTTTTTTCTGTAAAGTTCTCTTGCCTTGTGCTTTGGATTCCATAATTTTCAGTCTTGTGGGGGCAGAATCAGAGGATGTGACCTTGGAGGAGTCTCTCTGAAGCCTTTGAGGTACAAGTTACAGCCTTTGGACAGAGTCAGAGGATCGGATGGGGGAAGAAAGGGTATCAGTAGGACAATTTGGCATTTTAGCCTTTTGTGAAGACTGAGTCCTTCCCATTGGCTCAGCTTGCATTTTATGGAAATTAGTTAAAAAATAAACTTCCTCTCTCTTTGGTCAATATCATAGCCCTTTGCGTTTCTGTACCTACAGGGATGGGGAACAGATAGAGGATGAGGAAGATGAGAAGTATATCTTCAGCGACGACAGTTCCGAGCTGACCATCAGGAAGGTGGATAAGAATGATGAGGCCGAGTATGTCTGCATTGCTGAGAACAAGGCTGGCGAGCAGGATGCATCCATCCACCTCAAAGTCTTTGGTAAGGGCAGTAGGGGTCAAGGTCACCACTCTGGAACATTTCTTTTACTCTTCATGCCCAATGCATCAGTAAGACATGTCCACTTTATCTCAGAAATATATTCCAAATGCCTATGTTGTCACCTCCACCACTGAAACTCTAATTCAGGTCACCATCATCATTACCTGGTGTCTTAGTTACCTTAAGTACAGCTGTAACAGAAATATCACAGGTGGGTGACTTCAAAGAACAGAAGTTTATTTTTTCACAGTTCTGGAGGTTAAAAGTTCAAATAAGGTCTCAGCCATATCAGTTCCTTCCTTGTCAGTAGCCTTGAACTTTCATTGCTTCTTGATGATTCTCACATGGCATCTTCCTCATCATGTATACATGTCTCTGTGTCTAATTTGCTCCTAATATAACTTGGAAGTGATTAGGTTTTGGATCCTGGATAGCACAAAATGACCTCAACTGATTGATTGCATTTCATTAGATTGCATTATGGAAAGTGATTATATTACATTAGATTAGATTAGATCCACAGGTGTAGGAGTCAAGATTCCAACACACATTCTTGGGGGAATAAATCAGTCCATAACACTTGCACAATGCAACAATTTTCTGCCTGGTCTCCATCTCTCTCAGTCTTCCTTCTTCAGTCCTTCCTACTCATAGTAGCCAGAATGATCTGAGGTGCCACTGCTCTGTTGAAAATCCTCCACTGGCCTTCTGTTGAAACTAGAATAAACCCCAGACTCCATACAATGGCCTAAAAGACCAAATGTGACCTAGATCCTACCTTTTTCTCCATCTTCATCTTTCCTTTACTCTGCCTCACATTTAAAGCTTTCCAGCCACACAGGCCTTCTTTCTGTCCCTCAGGCATACCAATCTTGTTTCCTATCTCAGGAACTTTGCACTAAATATTTCTTCTTGGAATGTCATTCCCCAGATTTCCTCTGAGCCACCTCCTTCTTATTCAGTCTCAACTGATACTCACCTTCTCACTGCATCCTTCCTGGCTAACGTGGCTCCCCTACTGCCAACCCCCCCTCTGCTAATCATTCCCCTTTATCTTACTGTTTCTTCTTCACTGCACTTACCAGTACCTGACCTTACCCTGTTCACATGTTTTTGTTGGAGATTGTTTGTCTCCACCTCCACTAGTGTGTAAGTTCCGAGATGGCAGAATGCTGACTATTTTGTACATTACTTTATCTCTGGTTCTTTAAACAGCATCATATACTTTCTGTCATTGTTGTAAGCTGCCTCCAGTTGGTCCTGGACTCATAGTGACCCAAAGCACAATGGAAGGAAAGGCTGCCTGGTCATGTGCCATCCCCATGATTGGTTGCAGATCATACCATTTTGATCCATAGGGTTTTTCATTGACTGATTTTCAGAAGTAGATCACCAAGCCTTTCTTCCTAGTCTGTCTTAGTCTGAAAACTCTACTGAAATCTTTTCAGAGTCATAGCAACACTCAAACTTCCACTGATAGACAGGTGGTGGCTGTGTATGAGGTTGATTGTCCCAGAATCAAATTAAGTCTCCTTCATAAAAGCAAGTATTCTATCACTGAACCACCAATGCCTCAAACCCATAATAGTTCCTTAGTAAATATTAGTGGAGTCCGTAGGTGGCACAAATGGTTAAGTACTTGGCTAGTATCCAAGAGGTTGGTGGTTCAAGTCCACTCAGAAGTACCTTGGAAGAAAGGCCTGGCGATATACTTCTGAAAAATAAGCCATTGTAAAAACCTGATGGTGAAAGCAGAAACAAGATGGCAGCCTGCTAACACACTCTGCCCAATCCCCCTACAACAGAGACCTGGAAAACTAAGTGAAACAGATATAAATAATGATCTAGGAATTCTAAGTATCAAATGAAAAGATAAAGAATTAGATTGAGCACTGATTGGAAAGAGAAATAGAGAGAGATTGGTGACTGGGGAGAGAAGAAAGGCCAGGACCAGTCAAAGTGTGGGCATAAGATGCTGAAGAGGAGGGAGAATAATAATTAAAAAAAAAAAAAAAAAACGAAAAAAACTTCATGGAATGCAAGGAGGAAGACATTAACTGTCCACTAGTCAGCCATATCTACTGCACCAACCACCTCACCAAACGGACAGGCACCACTATCAACACCTACACCACTGGATCAATGACAGACAGTGAATAGCACCTGTTCATCCCAACTGCGGTTCCTCTTTATGTCAGACAGAGGCCCACATTCCCACCCGTTATTCCACCAATCTGGAGATAGTTGGGGAGTGTATCATTGCTGCCAAATTAGCAACCAAAGAAGCACACTTGACCCACTGCTCTGGATATATGGAAACAAAGCAAAACAAAAAACCAGGGTGAAACAAAGCAACACACAATCAACAAATAAGAACAACAACCTCAAAATGTCTCAGGGACAACAGACAACTTCAACCGAAACAAAGAAACAGGATAAGATAGTGGAAGCAAGTGACCAAAATAAAGAACTAGGAAATCTCTGTGAGGAAGAACAGGTAATGGAACTACCTGGTAAGAAATTCAAAAGATATATAAATATGGAAGCAAGTATTCTATCACTGAACCACCAATGCCTCAAACTCATAATAGTTCCTTAGTAAATATTACTGGAGTCCATGGGTGGCATAAATGGTATGTATATATTACCTTTCAAGAGCTCAAGAAAACCATAAACAGAAGCAAGAAAAAGATGGGCAATACACTTGAAGAATTCAGAAAAATCATACAAGAACAAAATTACAAAATAGATAGACAATTAGGAAAATACAGAAACAGCAATTAGAATCCAGAAGATGAAGACTAAAACTACAGAGATAGATAACACATTGGAAGGACAAAAGACTAGAATCAAACTGGCTAAAGAACATAAGTTAGCTAGAAGACAAATTCCTTGACACGGGCTTATATGAGTGAAAAATCAGAAAAGAGAATGAAGAGAAACAAAGAAAATATAAGAGTTATATGGGATGATATCAAAAGAAATAACATATGCCTAATTGGAATTCCAGATCAGGAGGAGGCCAAAAAAAAAAAAAAATTGTTGAGGGCTTGCTAGCAGAAAATTACCCCAATATAATGAAAGACGAAAAGATACCCATCCAAGAAGCTCAATGAACTCCACACAGGGTAGACCCCCAGAGAAAGTCACCAAAACATATCATAATTAAACTTTCCAAAACCAAAGACAAAGAATCTTGAGAATAGTTTGGGAAACATGAAATGTTACCTACAAAGGGCAATCAAAAAGACTAAGCTCAGCAGAAACCATGTAGGCAAGAAGGCAGTGGGATGACATATACAAAATCTTGAAGGAAAAAAAAATACCAACCAAGAATTATATATATCCAGCAAAACCATCCCTCAGATACAATGGTGAAATTAGGACATTCCCAGACAAACAGAAATTAAGGGAATTTGTAAAGTAACGTTGAAGAGAATCCTTCCAATAAAAAAAAAAAAAAAAAGACAACAACTTAAGATGGAGACGTGACAACACCACACCGGAAGCCAACCCGGGAAAAGAATTCTCACATCTAAAATAAGCTTACAAAATAGAAAATAGAGAACCAGGGGAGTAAATCTGTAAATGATACTAACTACAAAGAAAATAGAGGGAATAAATGGTATAATTACAAAACTTCCATATGGAGAGGAAGTCAAGATGATGTCAATATAGAACAGACTATTCCAAAGTTAGGGAGATAAGAATTTACTACAGGATAACCACAAAAAAAATGTATAAACCTTCTAACGAAAATAAGAAGAAAATCCCAAGGACTTAGTAAACACAAAATCAACAATAGTGAAGGAAAAGGAAAGAAAACTTGATCACAAAATGAACTCAGCACACAAAAATATCTGGAACAAAGAAATCATTGGCAGCACAACAAAAAACGCAAAAGAATGACAGCAGTAAATTCATACCTATCATTAATTACGTTGAATGCGAATGGATTAAATGTACTAGCCAAGAGAAGGAGAGTGGCAGATTGGATAAGAAAATAAGACCCATCAATACACTGTCTACAGAAGACTCACCTGAGACACAAAGATAAAAATAAACTAAAAATCAAATAATGGGAAAAATATATATATCAAGCTAATGGCAACAAAAAAGAGCTGGGGTGGAAGTAGTAGTAATTTCTCATAAAATAGACTTCAAGGCAAAATCCAGCATAAGGGACAAGGAAGAGCTTTATATGATAGAAGGGTCAGTAGACCAAGAAGATGTAAACCAAAAAAAAAAAAACAATTCTCTGCCGTTCAGTCCGTTCTGACTCATAGCAATCCCCATTGAGTTTCCAAGGCTGTAAATCTTCACGGAAGATTGCCTCATCTTCCTTCCACTAGTGGCTGGTGGGTTTGGACTGCTGACCTTCTGGTTAGCAGCCATATGCCTTATCCAGAGCTCCTGTAAGAGGACATAAGCATAATAAATACCTATGTACCCAATGAAAAATCTCCAGTATATATAAAGCAAACATTGAATTGAAAGGAGAAATAGACAATACTACAAGAGTAGTAGGAGACTTTAATACACCACTTTAGATAAAGGACAGAACAGCTAGAAAAAAACTTGACAAAGATATAGAAGATCTCAACAACACAATCAACCAACTTGACCTCATAGACATATACAGAGCATTCCACCCAACAAAAACACAATATCCATTCTTTTCCAGGACAATGGATCATTCTCCAGAGTGGACCATATGTTAGGTCATAAATCAAGCCTCAACAAATTTTAAAACATCAAAATGCTAAAAAGCATCTTCTCAGATCACAATGCTGTAAAATTAGAAATCAATAATAAAAAGACCAAAAAAAAAAAAAAAAAAAACCCAAACTCACTGCCATGGACTCGATTCAACTCATATCAACCCTTTCTTGGGTTTCCAAGGTGGTATCTCTACAGAAGTACATTGCCCAGTCTTCCTTCCAAGGCTGGTTCAAACCCACCAGCCTTCTGGTTAGCGGTCAAATGCCTTAGGCACTAAA